CCCCGCGCTCTCGTGAGTTCTTTTAAGTAATCGCTTAAGGTCGTCACATTATCAACAACTACTTCACTCCGCCGGGAACGGCTTTAATAATATTCCTTTTCTTTAGAATTCCTTAGTGGTTGAACGTTAAAAAACATTCAGACGACTTTAACGGTCACGAGAAGGCCTATTCTAAGTACAACTTGAAGGATGGCACCTACACAACATAGCAACTTTCGCCCCGCGGATAAAATCCCTCGCACACTTTTTAAAGCTGCTCTAGCAGCTCCTTCCTCCTCTTCCACGGCCTAACTAGCAGTTCCTTCTACTTAAGAAAAAGCTACTAGTGAGCAAGACGATGAAGATGATCTTTCGGCCCTTATTAACCTCGAAAAAGCTTTGGCCTAACACCAAGCTCTCTTTTAGTCTTAACGAAAGGCCGCTAAGCTTAAGAAGCTCCTCGCAAACATGAAAACCCGCAACGAAAAGCTCGATAAAAGCGCTAGCGAATAAAAAACCTTCGCCGAAAGGGCTGAAAAAGAGGCCCGTCGAGCTCGAAAAGAACTAGACCAGCTCTAAGCGGTCCTGCCAATTACGGAACGCCCGTTAAAGCCTCCTTAAGTGTCCTTCGAAGATAATTCTAAAAGCAAAGAGCTATACAAGCCCTCGGTCCTTCAAGCCACTCCCTTTACTTATAGAACCGCTAACCTTCGCCGCCTTTTCGCCGACGACGATGACGAACCACTTTCTCTTTACAAGCCAACTAACCTTCGCACTCCAGCTAGGTTCAACACCCTTAGAGCCTCTTCCTCAGCTTCCTAAGGTCGCGCTCGTATCGAGCGGATCCTTAACCTTAAACAAAAGCTCTTAAACGGTGTAAGCTATCGAGCACGTTACTAGCAAGCCCGCGTCCTCGATAACTTAAAAGCTTTCGATAAATACTTCTTCACAGAACGCTAGCGCAAGAACTACGTCCTTAACCAAACCGAAGGAACAGCCCACTTGTTCCTAGCCCTTTTAGTCATAGATCGTAGCAACCTCGTAACCGCTCCGGAACTCGTCCAGATCGCTTTCGAGTTCTTGAACGACCTCGCTAAGAAGGCTAAAGCGTTAATTGAGTTCGAAAAACTCTATATAAGGCCCAACTAGCAATTTTAAGACTTCTACTTTGTTTTCTCGGAGCTTGCCGCTACCGCCGAGATTAAAGACGAGGACCGATTACGTAAGGCCTTGCGTTCCAAGATCACTAAAACGCTGCGCGACCAGCTCCATTTAGAATTTGCTAAGACTACAACTTTCAAAGACTTTCAAACCGCCGTCTAACAATTAGCTGCTGGCTAATACGCGTCTGCAAAGCTTTACGATACTCTATAAGCCAAGTATAACGCTTAATTCGCGAAGAGCTCTTATAATAGAGCTCGTAACGAATCCCGCTCGGCTTAAGAAGCAGCGGTCAAGCAAATCACTCATTACGAGAACCGCTAAGGTAGCTCAGCCCTCGTCTCCTTCCTTACCCCTTAGCGCTAAACCTTCAACAGCCTTAGCGCTAGTACAGATCGATCTAATCGATCTAACAAATTCTCTTCTCCCGGAAACGCCCTTAAGTCAGCGATCAAGACCCTTAAATCGTCCCGCAAAGACCCGAATACGCCGAAGCTCCTCCGCCACTACTTAGTCAACGAGATAGAATACGGCGCTAGACCCGAATACAGCCCTTATTCGGATGACTCGAACGATGGGCCTTACTCCGACGCTCTTAAAGATCACCAAGAGCTCCTTCTTGCTAACTCCGACGCTCCCGACAATAAAGGAAACGTCGAAGCTTAAGCAAAGCCTTCTTTTTAAATCAGCTTCGAGATATGCGATACTTCGATCTTACGAAGCTCTTTAGTAATAAAGCCATAACTATACCCGTCACCTTTATCAAGAATGGCCTTTCGTATAAGGTATTTGCTTTGCTCGACTCAAGAGCTAATAGGTACGCGCTAATTGACTTAGCGCTATTCAAATCACTTTTTTTCTTTCTTAAACCTTTGATTCAACCTTTCTCGGCTTTATTCTTTGTCAAATCATACAATAGAGCTCGTGGAGCTATTATCTCTCATTTTGCACTTCTCAACCTTACGGTTGACAAGCGCGTCTAATCCTTTACTCCTTTTCTTATCACTAACCTTGGAAATCATAGCGTGATCTTCAGACGAGCATAGCTAGCTGAGCATTAAATTCTCTTTAATTGCTTTCGCCGCAAGCTCTATTAGCCTCGTTCTAACCTTCCGACCGCCACTTACGCTAAACCTATTAAGATCATACACCTTAATCAACGTAAAGTAAACGCTCGTCACTAACACGACGCTAACAAGCGTGATCGAGCCTTAGACCGCCTTTAGAGAGCTTACGACGCTAATTCACTCGTGAACTATAATTTACGAGCGGATCAAGCAGTAACAATAATCGCTAAATCACCTCTTTCTCTTTAAAATCGTCCTCCTTCCGCTTCCTCTTTTAAGATCGTTAAACCCTTTTCTTCTATTTACCTTTTCGTAAAGCCGTCACTCCTTCGCTTTACGAAAAACACTTTTTCTAAAGACTACGCTAAATCAATGTCTCAGATGAACCGTAAGCTTATGTCAACCGACATCGCTTTCGTAAAACCTTTTTTACTCGTCAAACGCTTTCGCTAAACATCTAAGTATAAAATCAATAGAAACCTTAAAATCAACGGCGTCTCCGGACACGCTTTCCATATGATCGCTCGTTAAAAAGACGTAGAACTGTTTTCTACGTCCTTTTATAAGCTCGATTGCTTAATCTCCGAGCGTTAAACGATTGCTTTTACTTAAGCTGATTACTAATCAGCGCTGATACGCTTTACTAACGGCTCTATCTTTACTATTGACCTTGCAGCGGAATTATCAGAGCTTACTAACGACCTTCTTATCTTTCTCGAATACTCCGATTACACACACGTGTTCTTTAAGGCCGCTAGCAACGTGTTAGTACTACACAAGCTTTACGACTACAAAATCGAGCTTCTCGAAAGGGGAAAGAAAGCGCTTCGGTACTCACTATTATACAAGATGTCGATCCTTAAGCTAAAGCTCATTAAAGCTTACTTTATCGACAATCTCAACAAAGGTTTTATCGAACCTTTAACAGCGCTATTTGCAGCTCTAGTCCTGTTTGCTAAGAAGCAAGACGGTTCCTTTCGCTTTTGTATTGACTTCCGCGCATTAAACAACCTTACTCGTAAAGATCGATACCCTTTCCTTTTGATCGATAAGACCCTCGCACGTCTCTTAAAAGCTAAAATCTTTACGAAACTCGACATTCGGCAAGCTTTTCATAGAATACGGATAGACCCAGCTTCAAAAGAGCTCACAACATTTAAAACGCGCTACGGTGCTTACAAGTGCAAAGTTCTTTTATTTGGACTAACTAATAGACCCGCCACTTACTAACGCTATATAAATGACCTCTTCTTCGACTTCTTAGACATCTTTTACACGGCATATTTAAACGATATCTTGATCTACTCCTCCGACCCTTTAGAGCACGCCTACTACGTCCGCTAGGTTCTCTAACGACTCGACGACGCTAGCCTTTAAGCTGACATCAAAAAATGCGAATTCAGCATTATTAAAGTAAAATACTTAAGCTTCATCATCTCTACCGAAGGCTTAAAAGTAGATCCGGACAAGACGTCGATAGTAAAGCATTAAGCGCTTCTTACAACCGTTAAAGGCGTCTAAAGCTTCTTTAGATTTTATAACTTCTACCGCCGATTCATTCGAGACTACGGCGTGATCGTAAAACCTTTAATACACTTAATTAAAGTTAACGTTCCTTTTTCATTTAATTCTTAATGTTAAAGAAGCTTCGACCTCTTAAAGCTCGCTTTGATTATTACGCTAATCTTATAGCATTACAACTAAGACCTCCCTTATATGCTAGAGACTAACGCTTTCGACGGCGTAGTCGCCTTAGTCCTCTCTTAAAAGCATGGTTCCGACTAGCTACCAATCGCTTATTATTTCAAAACCATAGCTCCCGCTAAGCTCAACTACGTCGTCTACGACAAAGAGATACTAGCTATTATACGCTCTTTTGATAACTTCCGCGCCGAACTCGCTAGCTCTCTTTACCAAGTTCAAGTAATCACCGACCACAAAGCCTTAAAGTACTTCATAACCTCCAAGACCCTTAACGCTCGTCAAGCACGCTAAGCAGAGCTCTTCTCCGACTACAACTTTATCATTACGTACAGACCAAGTAAAAACAACCCTTTAGCTAACGCGCTGACACGTCGCACCGAAGAGCTCTTTTCCTAAAACAGCCTTAAGCGCACCTAGCGCTTGCAAACGCTGCTCCGCGCCGACAACGTTGACCTACGACTCCTGACCGAAGAGCTACGCTAACCTACGCTTTCGAAGACCGCCGTCACTATCGAAGAGATCGCGGAGCTCTTATCAACATTCCGAGTTATTGACCAAGTCTTAAAAGCTAATCGGACCGCCCCTAGTTTCATAGCACTTCGAATTCAAGCTTCTAGAGCTGAGTCCTTACCCGTGAACCACGGTTCACGAGCCAAACTCATTATAGAAAGCGACCTGCTGCTTTATAACGGCCGCTTATTAGTTTCCGACGTCTAAAACTTGCGCTCGTTATTCGTCCGAAAAGTCTACGACCAAGTATTTACGGCATACCCTAGCTCTCGCAAAACCTACAAGCTCCTTGCAGCATAATACTATTAGCACGGTATAGCCAGATTCGTCAACCAATACTACCGCAACTACTACGCTTGCAGACGAGCTTCAGTGCTTCGCGATAAGAAACCTGGTTTGCTCTAACCTCTCCCGATCCTTTCGCGCTCTTAAGAGCACGTCACTATAGATTTTTATAGCTTTAATAAAAACAAACACAGCTACGATAACGTCCTTATAGTAATCGACCGCTTCTTTAAGCAAGCAATCTCGATCCTTTGTCACAAGTCCATCGACGCCAAAGGCCTCGCCAAGCTTTATATCTACTACATCTATAAGTATTTTAAAGCTCTTTTGACTTTGACTTCTAATAAAGGACCTCAATACTGGTCCGAGTTCTAGAAAGAATTCAATAAGATCTTCGGCACTAAACTGACCCTTAACACCGCCGCACACCCTAAGACTGACGGTCAAACCGAAATCTACAACCAGTACTTGCAAAAGCGCCTCCGTCCCTTCGTAAGCTACTACCAAGACGATTAGAATGAGTTCCTTCTTATGATAGACTTCGCCCAATTAACGCTCCTTTACGACTCCTTCGGCGATCTCTCTCCTTTTGAAGTAATTCACGGCTACGCCTTCCGGACCACTTGGAATTAGAGCTTAAAACGACCTAACGACTAAACCCTTTCCCGCAAGCTTAACCAAAACGAAGCTCGCGCTTACGCTAACCGCTACCTCAGAGCTTAGAGCCTCGCTAAAGACCACCTTTAGCGCGCTTAAGACCGCATAGCTAAACAAGCTAATAAATCAAGGCGCTCGGTTGACTTCGACGTCAATAATAAAGTTTAGTTGGACATGCGCTCGTTCCTTACCTCTCGACCGTCAAAGAAGCTCGATAACCCGACGAACGGACCGTTCGAGGTTACCGATAACGTTTACAACAGCTTTAAACTTAAGCTCTTCGAATCAATGAAGGTTCACCTAGTCTTCTACCCCGGACGACTACGAAAAGCTCTTAATAACCCTACCCTCGAGCAAATCATTCTTGAACTTGACCCGATTAATATTATTAGCGAACTTAAGTACGAGGTAAAGAACATCTTAGCCGTACGCTAAACTAAGAAGCACTTTAAGTACCGCGCTTCTTAGCTCGGCCGCGATATTGACTTTACTTAGTACTTCGCTTTCGACTTCATATACGCTCCTTTTAAAATACGTAACTTCCACTTAAAACACAAAGAGCTCCTTAGCTCTCCCGCGAAGCTCTTCGAATGGATCAAGGCTTATTCGGACGGTGTTGATGACTACGATCACTTAAGTAATAATAAAGCAATAGATAGACGCTCGAGGACGAGCTTTTTTCGGACGGGGAGGTAGTGTGACGACACGCTAAGTCTCTTGGACGCACCTTACATGCGCTAAGCTACTTCCTTCTTTTTTTCTTTCGTATTCTTCGTATTCTCTTATTCCCCGCTTTTAACTTATGAACTATAATTCACGAATCCTTAGCGCTTATACCTTCGTATATATAGACCTCAGCTACCTTCGACCTTTACACTCGGTAGTTGTTGATTCTAAGTCATTACTTTAAGATTCTCTTGAGCTCTTATGTGAACCCCCGCGCTCCCGTGAGTTCCTTCAGGTAATCGCTTAAGGTCGTCATACGAAAGTAGTATAAATACATCTGAATCTTTGTATTTATAATAATAAAAAAAGTTTAATTGCCGTGCTTATCGTTTAAAAAAGAAGCTTTTAATATAAGCTAAACTTTCGTATAACTATTCGCATCTATAATATTGAAAAGGCTATTCTTTTAAGCGGTGCTTATTAAGCTAATGCTTTAGTTCAGCTTATTAAAAGACATCGGCTTAGCTTTAAACTTAAAAGAGCTTAAGCTAAACATTTTTTTAATTAAAGTACTGCTTTTAATCTTAATAGCGAATATCGATTAATTGCTCGAGTAAAGCATAAAGTTATTAAAAGCGTTAATTTAATAAGCTTCGATAAATCGATATAAGTTAAAACGGATTATTATTATTATAAAGCCTTTCGTAATTAGCTTAAGATACTTAGCGTATTCGAAAGTATAGACTTCGCAAAAGACTTTATTTGATAATTCGATAGCGGACGATAAGACTTTGCGGCTAAAGCAAAGCTTTATTTAAACGTTTAAGTCAAAAAGTTCTTTAAATCTATTTTTAAATTTTAATACGTTTTTCATTTTTTAAAAGATCTTTGCGCAATTGCAATCGTCGTCGTTAAAGCTTAAATTAGAAATCTCGAATAGCAAAAAGTAGTTTATTACTTTACTTTTTTTTTTACTTACTTTTATTTAAACTACGACGATCGAAAAGTCGTAAGATCGCGTTATTAGAAAATTTATTTTTTAAAAGCTTACGGATCTAATTAACGGCTTTCTTAATCGATTCCGCGGCAATTTAAAAAGCATTATCGATATTCTCGTTTAAGTTTAAGCGGTCGAAAGCTAGTTAATAAAAGTCTTAGCAAAAGTTGATAAAAGCTACGTTTATACTTATAAAGTCTTTAATCTCGACGAGTTCGAAGCAACGGTTCGATACGGCTTTAGCTAATTCGTACTTAAAGCTATTTCTTTCTTTAATAAGTAGTATTAATAGCAGCTAATTCTCGAAAAGATCCCGTTGCATTTTAAGTGCAAAAGCTAAAAGAAAGCTTACGTCGATAGACTTGCGTAAAGTAAATATAATCGAAGCAATCAAGTTAGCGTTCGAAAGCTTATTAATAAAAGATAACATCGATCTTTAAGATAAAGCTAATAATAATAAAAAGCGCGCAATAAATAATTTAAATAAAAAAGTCTTAAAAGCAAAAGGTTAGCTTAATCTCGTTTTAATTGTTAAGTTATTTAGCACTTATGAATTATAATTTACGAGTAGAATTTCGGATTCGAATTCTTTTTATAAAACGAAATTTTAAGTTTAATTTTCGTCGGCAAACTTTATACGTTCTTTAAGCTCGTCGTATTCGCTTTTAATATTATCGATAGCTAAAATCAATAAGCTATATAATAAGACTTTTAATTTTAACTTCTTTAAGAGTCTTTCGTCCGGAATAGCAATTTTATCTTTTTACTTAATATTAATTTTATTTTTTACGATTCAATAAATAAAGTTGATTATCGTAGTATTAAGCTTAATAAACTTGCGTTTTCGAGCTATATTAATTATAATCTTTTAAAAAGCGACGTAAGCAATAATATAATAGTTAATGACTTAAATAGCGTAAGCGTTAAAAGTGCAAGTCTTTAAAATAACGTTAAGTTAGCGAGCGCTACGGATTAAAGTGCATACAGCTTTAAAGTAGTTATCGTATAGCAATTAGCTTTTAACGCCGTCGAAAGCTCTTTTAATTCGTTTATGTTTTTCGGCGTTTTTATTGCGTAAAAAGTAGATAGCGGTAACTTTAATAAAAAACTAGTCGTAAGCCGAAAAGAAGTCTTCGGCGTTAATATTCTTTCTTGCGCATTCGGCTTGCAAGAATTAATCGTATTGCAAGATTAAGTCGTTTTTTTTATTTAATCTATTATTAAGGTCGGAGGTTGCTATTTTAAGTATAATTAATTAATTAGAGTTGCTTATTTAACGATAAATTTAAAAGAATTTATCGAAACTTTTAATGATTCGTCTTTCGAACTTTAGCTCGAAATTCGATTATCGGATTAAAGCAGCTTGCTCTTCGCTTATTAATAAGCTAAAAAGTGCATTTCGAACAAAAGCTTTTCTTTTAGCGGCGGCTAATTTAAAAAGTATATTTAACTCGTGAATTACGGTTTACGAGTTAAATATAAAATAACAAAATAAAGCTGATAATAATAATGATTAACTAAGTAATGATTAAGGTCTTTAGTATTAGTATAGTATTATATAATTATAAAAAAGAAAAGGTGATAATAATATTGTTATAATTATTATTATATAAAGAGAGAAAATGTTGAAAAAAAAGAAAAGAGAGCTTTCTTATATAAGTATATTTGTAAGACGAACCTATTTTTTTTAATAATAGTTTACTTTCGAATACACGTAGTTAAGTACGCTTAAAACAAAGAAACAGTTTCGATTAAGAAATAAGAAATAGCCCTATAAGCTTAAAACACATGAAAAACAATTAAATAATAAAAACAATTTATATAAGATAAGTAAATAGCTAGCAAAGTAAAAGGAATAAAGAAAGAATAGAGAATATAATAAAAAGCAAGTCTAAAAATAAAAAAATAAACGTAAGAAATACTTTTCTTTATGAAAATAAAAAGAATGATTATTAAAAGCACGTCTTTTTATAAAATAAATATAAAACAAAAAGAAGATAAGAAAGTAAAAAAACAAAAGTAAAAGATAAACTAAAAAATAGTTTTATAAGCTAGTTTTTGTTTTTTCGAAAGTATTAAAAGAATAATTTAAAAGTTAATAGACTTAGGTTTAAAGATCACTTTAAAGTTAAGTAGTTTACTTTTGCCGTCGTCGGAAAGCTCGTATTTATTAAGGTCCGAGTTGTTTAAAAAGCTCGAATCTTCTTTTTTTTTTTATTGTTTTTATTAAAAGTAAAAAAAGTTTAATCGCGGTAATAAAATCGCTTAAAGCGGTTAGCTACAAAAGTGCTTTTAAGCTCAATCTTATCGGTTTCTTAAAGTTTATAATATCTTTTATCGTAAGCTTTAAAGACGATATAAAGTCTTAGCTATTTATAATTTAGCTTAATATCCGCGGACATATCGATGCTGCGTTTAACGTCGTAAAGAAATACTAAATCTTTTTCTTTAATAAGTTCCGACTTTTAAACCTTAACTCGTTCTTAAATAGCTTTAACGGTAAGTCGATAACGCTTCTTTTTTAAAATAATCTCGTCGATATCTTCGTTTCGAAGTTTTAATTATTTAAACTTTATAGCAAGTAAGTTAGCGCGAAATCGAACTTTTTATTATAATAATAACTTTTAAATTAGTTATCGTAATTTTAAAAGTAGCTTAGCTTTTCGTCCGTAGTTTAAAAAAAAAAGTAATTTTAATAAGTGCGTATATCAAAGTCCGGACCGCAAAAAGCATTTTATTAAATTTGCGAACTTAATCTTTAAATCTTTTATTTATAACTTTCGATAAATTATTTAAAATGTCTTTGTGTTTTCTTTTAATCATTTTATTAGCTTTTAAATTATAGCTTAAGATTTAAACTTTCTTGCTCTCGTACTTAATAGCGAAGGCTTTAACAATTGCTTTGTTTTCGAGTCTTTTATTAATAATTAGTTTTTCGAATAGTTCGTAATAGCAAACGATATCCTTTTAAAAGAACTTAATAATAAATTCGGCGTTAACTAATCGAAGTAATCGCTTTTTTAACTATTTAAATAAATCTTTTTTAATTAATACA